AATCTGGAAAATGTATATCATTTGGACAGACTTTCCCTTTGCTACAACATCGAGTAAATTTCCCATCGGATGGTTTTTCATCAGAGAAATTTAGTGAGAGGCAAAATTCACATCGAATAGTCATTCCACCACAACCATGTTTGAGAATTGCATCCTTATGTACTCCATTTTCCCTGAGAAGACAGTTCCTACCGGTATTGGTAGCACTTGTTGATGACTGTTCTCTAGACATATTCTGTTGTTGCCACTGCCTTCTTTCAACTTCAAAGGCACGTTGGTCTTTTGACATTTTCTGTCGATAACGCTGGTGTTCAGATACATCCTGTCGCAGGCACCGCCTTCTTTCAAGATCAGGTGCACGCTGCTCTGCAGACACTTTCTGTCTATAACACTGGCATCTTTTGGCTACAGAGCTACGTTGTATCAACAGTTGTTCTTTAGACATAGTCCCACCTCTCTACTGTCACGGTCTGAGATGCAGCTGAATGGCTATCAGGCTGCTGAGAGCTGTCTGACCAATGGCTGCTTCTGGCTGATTCTGTGGGGATGGGACTTCCTCCTCCCTGCTGTCAGTTTCCACAGCTGTGATGAGGAAGCTGGGGTGACAGAGGGAGCCGCACCCTCCAAGCTGCCCTCTCTCTCACTATGCTCTAATGTCCAGTGGTCTCCTGCTCTACCAAGTCCTCCAAACCTCCCGCTCTCCGCTGGCAAGATCCCAGGAGCCCGCGGGCATGGCTAGGTGCAGGTGGCCTTGGCTCCCTGACTGGCAAAAGTCCCAGAAGCCCGCAGGCGTGGCTACAGCCTCGCCTCCTGGGGCTGGCGAAGGTCCTGGGAGCCTGAGGGCATGGTTTGGCGCAGCAGGCCTCGCCTCCTGGGCTGGCAATGGTCCCAGGAGCCTGTGGACGCAGCGCTGTCGCCTCCTGGGGCACTTGACACCTATGTATGCAAATTAACTGCCATCTTTGTCAGGTTAATTTGCATAGTCACTCGGATTGGCTTGTGGGCGTGGCTTGAGCGTAGCAGAGGGATGGTTAATTTGCATCTCTTTTATTATATAGGATTAATTTGTTTCTCTTTTATTATATAGGATTCTAATTTTAAAAATACCAATATTATTCCCTTAAATATGTATTGTATTTTATCTATTATAAAGACAATTCCAAATACATTAGCTCATTTGGACCTTTCAAAATCCTCTGGCTGGAAAGAAATTTATAAAATAGCTGAGTGTCACCTGCCAGTGTAGCTCAATGATTGAGTGTCGACCTATGAACCAGGTCATGGTTTGATTCCTGGTCTGGGCACATACCCGAGGTGTGGGCTCGATCCCCAGTAGGGGGCTTGCAGGAGGCAGCCGATCAATGATTCTCTCTCTTTATTGATGTTTCTATTTCTCTCTCCCTTTCACTTCCTCTCTGAAATCAATAAAAGTATGTATTTAAAACAAACTAACAAACAAAAACAGCTGAGTGTCATAATGACAGTCCCTGAACCACAGCACAGTAGCAGAAATTACAAATCAACTGTTCTGGACTGTGGCCTATTTGGGTTTGAAGGGCTTATTCACTGACTTTATCCTCTTCTGCCACTAAATGACAAACATATGTATTTAAGACAACCCTTAAATTTTAAGTTAGGTGAATGTGAGGGGGGGGGGGAAAGGCAATGTTTTTACTTCTAATGATATTAATCTGAGGCGTTTAAAATGAAGTGAAGGAGCCCTACCTGGTTTGGCTCAGTGGATACAGCAGCCATGGGCAAACTACGGCCCGCGGGCCGGATCCGGCCCGTTTGAAATGAATAAAACTATTGAAAAAAAAGACAGTACCCTTTTATGTAATGATGTTTACTTTGAATTTATATTAGTTCACACAAACCCTCCATCCATGCTTTTGTTCCGGCCCTCTGGTCCAGTTTAAGAACCCATTGTGGCCCTCGAGTCAAAAAGTTTGCCCACCCCTAGGATAGAGCATCAGTCTGTGGACTGAAGGATCCCAGGTTCAATTCTGGTCAAGGGCACATGCTCAAGTTGCAGGCTCAACCCCCACTGGGGGGCATGCAGGAAGCAGCAGATCAATGGCTCTCAGGTGAGGATTAACAAAAATTGATGTTTCTCTCTCTCCCTTTCCCTTCCTCTCTGAAATCAATTTTAAAAAATTAAAATGAAGTGAAAGAGTACTTCTACTGTATCAGAAAGTACACTGAAAATTACCTGTTGCGGTATCAGAAGTGGGTGATGCCTCACAAAGTTCTACATTTCTTGAGTGAGTGTTTTCAGAAGTATTGTTAGGTTCAAATGAGGTGGATGGAGTAGAAAGTGAACTTTCTGACTGGCTGCCATTTGCCTCTGATGTTTCACCTTTTAATGAGTGCATCTAGAAAGAAAACACATTGAAATTTAACAGATAAGAATCTAGATTTACCATGGCAGATGAGACCAAAATAAGAGTGAGTCAAAGTATATACTTTCTAAGTAGATAAATCTAATATATATAATCCTAAACATGACATAATCATGTTATGAAATTCTACTATAAACCAGTCCAGGAAGAGAGTATTTACTAACTTTCCAATTTAATGGCATGGCAGGTCCCTGAATATTGAGAGCACTTGCAAAAATACTCCAATGTCAAGTTCCTGGCTAATCATTTTCATATGTTTACACAAAGAACAATTATGTTCCTTCTCACCTGCCGGACTTTGTGAATTCTGGTAACAAGTTCATCTGCAGAAACACTTCCTGCTATTACTTCCAAAGGAATTCCACTGTCTCCAATAAAGAAACTGGATGGAACACACAATACA